TTTTGTCTTAATCCATGAGAGAATGGTGGCTTGGTTGCATAGAGAAGCTACATCATGGTTCCGACAGTCATATACGAATAGTTGACCTCCGTACTCGAAACGGAACGCTAACGAGACCGCTCGTTAAACTATGCTATCTGCCAATCTCAAATAATAGCGAAAACGAAAGTAATAAAACATTCGTACAATAATATATACAAGCTAAAATCAAAATATCCGTCTAATAACCGAAAATAGAAATTAACTAGAAACAACGTTAACTTCGGTAGCGCCGAAGCTATAATACCCTTCACAAATACAAAGGCCCCTTACGAGAACTTGATTCCGAACGTTCAATTTGTATGGCAGCTATATGATATAGTAATCTGATCTGACCAATTTCTGTGGAGAATTATTTGTTGCCTTAAGCAATAACTCGTGCCTAATTTCGTGAAGATACCTCGTCAAATAAAAAAAATTTTCATGCAAGCACTTTACTCCGATCGTTCAGTTAATATGGCAGCTATATGCTATAGTCATCCGATCTATACAATTTCTTCAGAGATTAGATTAATGCTTTAAACAACAATACATGCCAAATTTCATGATGATACCTCGTCAAATGAAAGAGTTTTCCATACAAACACTTAATTCCGATTGTTCAGTTTGTATGGCAGCTATATGCTATAGTGATCCGATATCGTTCCGACAAATGAGCAGCTTCTTTGTTAGAAAAGGACAGGTGCAAAATTTCAGATCGATAGCATAAAAACTGAGGGAGTTTGTATATATACATACAGACGTCCGTCATGGCTAAATCAACTCAGCTCATCATGCTGATCATGTATGTATATATTTTATAGGGTCTCCGACAAATTACAATCATATATATAATACTAATAAAATAATGGATAGACTAATACGATCAACAAACCAAATAAAGTTGGTTACATATAGAAAGATATCCATTCTCTATACCATTGAGTCGTAACTAAACTCGTCCTTTTCTCCATACAGGTAGATATGGATACAGAAATGCATTCAACCCCAACGCCAGCAATGCGACCGGCCATCAGTGTGCCTCGCCCTGGGGTTATTCCAACAGCGGCGCCCCGAACACCAGCCGCAACCGTCAACTACCGCTCGTAGTGGTATTCGAGCATCCGCAGCCGTGCCGTCTCCACCAGAGGCGCCCCTTCGCATCCGATGCCCCCTTTGTCGCCGTCCACACAAGTTTCAGCACTGTGGGCTCTTCCGGGGCTTTGTGTCAAATGTGTGGCAGGCAGCATCACACGCTGCTTCACCTCACCCCGAGATGAGAGGTCAATCGGCAGCCTGCAACACGCATCCGCGGCACAAACTGACCGCAGCAAACCAACCGTGTGGCACGTCGCCGAAGAACGGCACCCCGTCCTGAGTCCCGTCCAAAGTTGCAACAGCTACAGCAACTGCTAGGCTGAACTTTCGGTTAGGGGGGCCAGGATGGCTAAATGAGTTAAGCTTCCCGCCCTGAAAAACTCAACTACTCCGCACAAAACACCACTCACAAGACAACACTGGCACATACACCACTAACCGAATACAACACATACAAATGCACTACACTACTGGAAGCAGCCGCATACACACACACACACAGTGGGAGCTCTACACAACTCGACATACAAAACATCTGTCCTCGAAGCGGACAGGCCTCTCAGGTAAGTGTTGGTGTTAACAAAAGGTAATGATATGCACCAAAATTGGTTCCATAGTTCCTGAGGCATAAGGTTTTACCTAAAATGGGCGGTGCCACACCCAGAGTTCTATTTTGATACTGGCTCCTATTGAGCGCTCCTTTACCTTATTGGATGTTATTGGACGGGGAGTGGGCGTAATTAAACTATGGATAAGGAGATGACAAAAGAATTCCTCTTTAACTAGCTTGATTGTTATAGCTCCAATGGTTTATAATATATATACTCCAAAAAAAAAGTGCGCATGGCCCCGCCAACCTAAAACTCCCCGAAAGGAAGTCCTTCTATTATTTCGTCATCAAGTGTGGAAATGGGATATTGCCGGTATCAAATGGGCGTGGCATCTCCCACCTTTACGTTAAGTCCTATACCACAAGAACTACGTCACCGATTCCAAAAAAATCTTGTGTACAACATTATTTCGCCTTTTTTATTTAGCGTTGTAAAAATGGGCAATTCGCGTTACGCCTACTCTCCGATACCGAATATGTGGACCTCACTTACTATAGCTGACTTTTTATCGAAAATATTGATCAATCTGTGGGGTACCTAATGATAGTCAGAGAGCAACAGTTTCTAATATGTCGTGTGCCAAAAATGGATAACATGAGTCGACTTGGCCTAAACCTCACATCTTTAATATAATGATCTTGGATTATTGGTTGACTTTTTGATTTAATAAACATATTTTGAACACGAAGCAAAATATAGTAATGAAACTAAGTGAGTCTAAGACCTATAACATACATCAGTTAATAAGATACTAATTTACATTCATGTAATCCATTCGGTAGCTTCGAATGATGTTTGTTGAATTCTTGACTTCGATCCTTGGGAAAGTTTGAAATGTTTGGTTACATCCGAACATAGCCCTTCCTTATTTATTTTACATAAAATTTGTATGAAGTAATAAAGAAGAAAAACTCCTGATTTTAAACCTGGTTTACTTGTCGACTATTTAAAATATTCACTATTGCATCGAAAGTATGTAATCTTTCTAAATTTCTAAATTTCCGTGTGAGATGAAATGTAAATTTACCATGTTATGGGGCAATAACAATATTTCCAAGATGTTTGAAGGAGTTTTTCCAATAAATACACAAAATAGTAACGTTACATTAAGACGAGTTCAATACCGGCTGACTTTTTGTCCGTCCGTTCGTGCAAGCGATAACTTGATTAAAAATATCTTGATGTTCCTTGGCACCATAACAATACGATAAATTGGTAGAGGGGCATTTTAGAGGGGTATCTGTGGGCTCAAAATTTTTCAAAAGTCGGATCCGCCCTCTAATAGGTTTACTGTGCGTATCTCACCGACAACTAAAGCTATATATGTAATCACGCCCTCAGTAATGAGAAAACGGTTGTGTTAAAAACTTTTAAAAGAGCGATAACTCACAAAATAAATAGGTAGGAAGTATTGGAATTCCTCCCCGTAAGAGCGGAAGATCTCCGTATCACCCCGTACAAAATTTGACGATGGGCGTGACACCGACCATCTTTAAGTGAAATCATATGCCTTAGGAACGACTCGACCAATTTTAACCAAATTTAGTGAATAATAATATTCTACTAATTCTATGTCACGCAGTCAACAAGAGCAAAAATGGACTACAACCACGCTTTCTTCCCTTACATCGAAATTTTAAATTCCATATGATTTTTTCCACAGTTGCCGAATAAGTGGACTACAATACCTATGGCTGACTTTTCACCATATTGGTCACTATGTGAGTAATATTAATGAACTCAGAACTCATCAATATCTGGTCGTGATATCAGAAATGGATAAAATCGGGTCAATACTATTCTTAGCCTCCTTATACCTAAGCAATATAAGACTTTCAAACTTCCGGTTGCTTTTTACTGTATAAGTATGTAGTAGGGATAGAAAACTCAATTCCGATTCTACTCGAGATTCGATTTTTTAATAAAAATATCGATTTTTTGGTATCGACTTTTCCTTAAGAAATCGGTCAAGAAACAATTCTCGATGCCATACCATTACAATATCATAAACAACTGTGTGATAGAAAGTCATACAAATATATATTTATTTATTTCCAGTACTTAATATGTAAAACATACATTTTCAACTTTTATCTGTGCGAATAATTGACATGTATTTTATTATTTGGCAGGTTATTATTCAGATTTTTTAAAAATGAATGCTTGTTGCATCGTTAACTCAGACAAATCCAAAAGTATCGACTCGGCGCAACTTGGAGTTAGCTGACAGTCATTACAACGGATAATATATATATGATGACTTAAACCTGTTTCCGTACACAGTTCAAATAACATTTAACCCTCTAGATTTATTTATTCGCCTGAAATTTTTCCAAAAAATTAAACTTTAAAACAAATTAATATCAATAAACTCCACTTTCCGCTGGCCCCCAAGGTCACCTGACTTGACTGCACCAGACTTTTTTTACGGAGGAAACCCTTCAGACCGCTATTAATAATTTTCTAATTAGGAGTCGCATATGCTTGGTTGAACATTGACATCATTTACGGTCCTTAATTTTTAAAAATAATTAATTATATAATATAAAATAAAATAGAAACTTTCATATAATAAAAAAGAAAGTTATGCATTGAGTAACAAAAAAGTTAATACAGTTTATTTTTGTACCACGATTCGTGCGCCATCCTGTATTATTATTTTTCAATTTATTCAATCAAATGGCGCCGTGCGGATTTCTTTTAAAAAAGTAAATAATGGATCTAATGTCCAGTGTAATAAATGTGCGAAGCACCTGAAACATAGAAACAACACGACTAGTTTAATTAAACATAAATACACAACTTTTATTTATTACTTGGGTTTTGTTCTTTATTATTTTATAAAATTGAATTGCCCGTTCGTGGCATTGCGAACTTATAAATAATTTTAATAACTATAAAAATGATTGTTCTTTTGAATTAGAATCGATTAAAATCGAAAGAATCGATTCTTGTGCTCGAGTAATCAATTCTTAGAACCGAAATATATAAAATCAAAATCGTAATCGGGAGTCGATTCTTTATAAAATACTTTCATCCAGTATATCGGTTACTATGAACGATATCTTAGCAAAAATTAAGTGAACATATCATATTATATATAATATAGTTTATAGCTGAAAATGTTTGAAATCGGCCCGCGAAGTCGTTAAGTTAGTTTAAAGTATTTTTATGGCATTAGTATTTGCAAACTACGAGAGTAAAAAATGCTGATTACACCCGAACTTAGCCTTTCTGAACTGGATTTATAGGTATAAATATATTTTCCCTTACTTGTTTAAAGTTGTGCAAGCAACATAGATATTTCACGCCTTCATTTTTCCAAAGAACTGTTGGGTTCAAGACTGCAAACGTGGAATTTACTGGCATCAGGAACGAAAGTAACCATTTTGAACTTTATTTAATTAATTTTTCATTAGTATATATGTATTTTGGATCCGGTGTAGTAAATAAAACCCGTTATTTTTAAAATACTTTCCTTCATATTCCTTGAGTAGTGTTATCTTTAAAGATCATATATTGGTCAATAAGTAAAAGGTTTTGTTGTAATTTAGTAGATATGTTTTATTAAACATCGTAAGATTTGCTACCAAAAATATACGAATTTCCACTTAAATCGTTACCTTTATAATGAATATATAGATGAGCGAGATGTCTCGATGCATTTAAGTCGGTATATTGGAAAATGCATTTTAAATAAATATTTTATTAAATTTATAATTATTAGTTACAGTACTATAACTTTAGTTTCAAACTGTAAAATTTTAGAAAATACCACCTGTTAAAGTTAGCATAAGTAAACGAATTCGGTATAGTTATTATTAGAGTACTCAGACAATGTAGAAAATTTATTACATATATTATGAAAATCCGTAAAATCTGTAGAATAATTTCATCCGATATTTGTATAAAATCACATTATGTACAAGAACGCATAAGCCTAAAGCGGAGTCTTTTTTATTTGAAGTTAGAAAATAAAAAATTTCGTGGTTTAATGAGGCAAAACATATACACAGAATTATGCATAAAGTGCAGTATAGTGGCAAAACATATGAATGTACAGTGCTCAAGCCTTTGATAACCGTAAAAATACATAACATAGTCTATCATATGTTAAATATGCATAAGTAATATGGCAACAATTAGAAAAAAAATTGGATCAAAAACAAGTGAAGTGGCACATAAAATGCATAAAATCATATTCGAAAAAAAAACAAAGAAAAACAAGTAAAGTAAGTTCGAGTATAACCGAATATGTCATACTTTAACAACTTGAATCAAAGCCAGGGAAATACCTTAAGGTGTTCACAAAACTTTATATTAAACAAGTAAGGAAAGGCTAAGTTCGGATGTAACCGAACATTTTATACTCTCGCTATTCGCAAGAATCAAAGGATCAGGAGATTCCTTCAGGTGTGATAAAACCTTATAGGTATTAAAAAAATGTTGAGAAAGTATTAATCATCCATTATTATATTGTATGAAATCGTGATTAAATTACAATCAAATTTGGTATCTTCTTGACTTATATTAAAGGCCATAATAATAGTCTTAGTTTTATTGCTATATTTTAGTTCGCGTCAGCGAAAATTATATTACAAAAATCATCTTGAAGTGAGATATACATACATATGTATGTATGAATGTGATATTAACCCAACCAAAGTTTCTAAATTTTATATTATAATTTTATGTGGAAAAAGTCAACCAGAGAATCGGAATTCATTATATGAAGATATTAGGTTTTGACCAAGGTATATACTAATTTCATTCTAATTCAGCGTCAAACCACATACTTTTTAAGAAAACTTATGAATTTCATTAAAATATCACATTTTGATCAACCGGAACGGTTTAAAGTTAGGTGGAAAGACGGAAATCATATATATATAGGAGATAAAGAAAGATATTAATTTTGACATTGCTGACCCTATACTCGAGAACATATTTTGATGTATTTTATATATAAAAACAAAATATTAATACTCACTGACCGACATATTCGGCATAAAACTGGTTAGAATAACGAAAAGCATTATAAATAAATAGTATATGGAAGTGGTAGTATTAACCGGATTTTATCAATTTTTGCCAATACCAAATACTACTAACATGCCACAGACTAATAAAATACTCCCACTGTTTCATTTGAGTAAAGTCAGACGAATGTTTGAAAATCCTGATATAAGTTACATGAGGGCTAGGTAAAATTTTCAAACGAATTTATCCATTTTAGACACAAAGATAGCTTGTTATGAGTAATACACGCTTTCTCATTTTCATTGAGATAACTCACATATTGGTCTATATATGCGGTATGAAGTAAACTGGTAGTTCGAAAATATTTCAATAACGTATATGAGGGCTAAGGGAAGTATTAACCCGAGTCAATTCATTTTTGACATACAAGCAGACTCTCTGCGATTTGCAATAACATATCTCACTGATTTACTGTTATTTCCGTTAAAAAGTTAGCACCAGGCCCCCATATTCGGTAACTGTTGGCTTGAACAGTTAACATATGGTCCGAATTTAACTATGTTTAGACTTAAGATGGTATATCTCAAATGCGCTATTTGTGCAAAGTTTTGTCTCGAAATATACTTTGGTGCTTGACTTGTACCGTGCCGGGTCTAATATGCAATGACTCTGACGCAATTGGTTATTGATTTATCGCACTTTTCGTTGTTTTTAACAAAACCGTTATATAAGAAGTAGACGGTGGTTATCATCCGATTTCATCCATTTTCACACTGTCGAAGAAAAGGTCAAAAATATTTACTCTGTGCAAATATGTGTCGTATAGGTCGAAAGGTTAGGAGATATATACAATAAACTTATTAAGTGGCGGGGCATGGCCCACTTTTAAATTTTTTCCAACCATTGATATCCCTTCAATATCGGTACAATCCGGGGAAATTCCTTCAATTAATTAATTTTATTGATATATTATATAACTCATACACTGGCCGACATATTAAGCATTGGGTTTGTTAGAATAACGAAAATCATTATATGTGGTATTGAGGACTTGGGTAATTCGTAGACCAATATTACATATTTTCGGCATTAAACTATAGTATGTCCAATATTACTCGTTCAGTTAATTTTATTAAGATATCTTACATATTGACTGATACATAAGGTATAAAGTCATTCAAAAGTTTGAAAATCTTTTATTTGTAATATGAGGGATAGGGATTGTAAGGAACCATGTTTATCCATTTTTGCCATTACAACAGAAAAAGATGATCTCTAAAGTTTCATTAAGATACTTCACATATCACACATATATGCGTAATAAAGTCAACCGGATATTTTAAAATCGTGATATTAGTTATATGGCGGCTAGGGCAAGTTGTAACCGATTTGATCTATTTTATGCACAAAGATACATTGTTATAAGGAAAACACGTTCATTTAATTTCATTAAGATAACTCGCGTATTGACCGATATTGCGGTATACAGTTAGCCGGAGTGGGCCATCATCAGATATCGTCCATTTTTACAGTATTGGTGAGGGTGCTTAAGGGATTTGTTCTAAGCGAATTTGACTATCTTAGCTTGAGCTGTGTGGGATATGTACATTTAACCTCATAGAGAACGGGGCCACGCCCATTGTTCCAAAATTTTAAACACAACCACTCTTAATTCAACTTGTCTCGTCATCGTGATCAATTATATGTATATGTTATATCCATATCCATATCTATCTCGATTAGTTTTAGGTGAAACAAACATTTGTTCGGTAAACAAAGCTGTTATACTCTGTAGCAACATGTTGAATTTTATTGTTCGACGAAACCGTGAATGAATTACAATCAAATTTGGTATCATATTAACTTATTTTGAAGGTCATAGACTCACTTAGTTTTATCACTACATTTTACTTCCCGCCAGCAAAAATTATACTTAAATCATCCTCAAATGATATACATATGTTTGTATGTATTTATGTGTGATATAAACTCAACCAAAGAGGATAAATTTAATATTACATATGGAGTTAATGTGGAGCACGTCAACCAAATGAAAATTCATTATATGAACATATGATATGAGGTTTAGACCAAGACCAATTTCATTTATATTGAGCGCCTAAATCGGAAATCATTATACTTTTATAGGGTATATTGGGAAAAGAGAAATGGAAAGGCAGAACGCATTAATTTTTGCTGTTGTTCAGTTATACTTGAAAACTTATTTTCAAGCAATTTTATAAATATATATAAAAACATATAGCCTGAATATCGGTTATATGGGGGCTAAGGTAAATTTTCGTCCGATTTTATTCAGTTTAGACGGCTTAAAGTCAACTGGATTATATCATATTAGGGTGTAAATTTTAATGCCTCTACTGTCGAGTTTTTATACTAATTGTTCTAAGCGAATTTGGTTATTAGATTTTGAATGGTTTAAGAGATATGCAAATTAAACTTATTAGAGAGAAATAATTTGTATTATTATTGGCTCATACAGTAAGTTTAATTTTTACTAAAAATAAAATCAAAAACATTTCATTGTAAAAAAATTAACTCTTAAATGTTATGAATCACATTGGTAGAGGACAAAAAAATAAGAACACTTTAAATAATTAAAAAATTTTGATTAAAATGGAAGGTAAAATTGTGTGCATATTCAATATATTTTGTCGAATAGCTATTGTTTTTTAACACGGCTGAGCTCAGGCCACCAAGGGCTGCAGCTTGGCGAACTGTTGACAGCCTAGGTTTCTTAGGTTAGCTGCGAATACTCAATAAGCAGCCACTGGCCAAGAGCGACAGGAGAGGAGGGTTCGGCCTAAAAGACCTGAAACATCCTATGCTTCTCCGGTGACTAGGTGAATAGATTCCGCCTTGAATTAATCATCCACAAACCCAAAGGGGCTGCCCCGAGGGAACACTCACCCATGAGAGGGAGGCAACAGAGCGACGAGGGACGCTCTAAACGGAAGCCGTGAGACCAAAAAGAAAAGAAAAAATCCGCTTTGCTAAGCTCATAGGGGGTCATAGATAGTGGATACTGAACTCAGTACCTGCAAGACGTAGGTTAGCTGCAAATAAAAATAAGCAGCCCCCAACCAAAAGCACAGCACAGAAAACAAATAAAGCAACGAAGCAGGGCCACGATTTTGACAAATGATTTGCAAATGTTGAACTTGGGCTGAAATTCTGGCTGTGGCGTTCTGTTACCTCAGTATGCAAGAATGACATCTTGCAGAAATAGCTTTCAGGGTAATGTCACAGTCGTCTCCGTCTCGTTAAAATCATGGCAGGTCTTCAAGTACGTACGATGCTACGTCGCTATTAGGTTGGCCGTACAGCCTCAGTTGATTTACATCCTGACTAGTGCTATGGTCCTGGCTCTGAACACGAACTCCCATAAGGTTTCGTGTCAACCCTCGTGTGGCCTCCCTGCAATGCATAGGCAACCACAGGAACCAAAAATGTAACAGCGGTTGAGGCGCTTCTAAGGGTCGGGCCACCGTCGAAAAGATGAAAA